TTTTTTTTATTTTTTTAGCTCAGTTTAAGTGTAGAAACATTGTGAAGTGTTTCAATGAACTTATCATCATCGCTCAATTTTTTTTTTTTATATATATATATATATATATATATATATATATATATAATTAGCAAGAGAAGAGCCATAAATGTCAGCCATAAATGAAAATGTTTCTGTGGTTTGGTAGAGAGAAATTACTAAAATGACAAACTGAGTACCCAAATAAATTGTGGCACTTGAACCAACTGTGCGCAAGCTAGAAAAGCACTGGGCACGAGTACAAAACAGAGAACAACTTGACAAGATAAGTTTGAACTTTGTAGTTATAATAATCCATCAAAATGCTCCAAGACACAATTATTCTCTCTAAATGTCCTTGATCAAGAATATGGGTTTAGCCACAATAAAGTCATTAATCAAACTAAAATGGTATTTCTATGAGTCTGGATCTGAAGCAGTCAGAAATTCAAGCCAAGAAACTATTATGCCCGTCTGATTAGCAGGCTTTGGAGAAATTGCTGAATGCACTGAAAGAAATCTTTGTTTGAGCAGTTATTAGTTGGATACGTCATGGTTAATCCAGAAAATAAAAAAAAACAGACTGAAAAAGTCAAACTTAACAAAAATAAAAATATATAATCTTCCCTCTTTGTTATTATAATAACTATGGGTTGTTCTGTCTATGTCTATGTCTAACTATTCTGTCTGAAAAGATCTTCTCAAAATGTTCTGAAATTTTAACAACTCAATCTTTGTTACTTGAAAGCAGCAAAGGATTCTTTGGTTTTCACTAAATATTTGATTTACTTAAAGAGTATTAAAGATTTAATATATGAACTTAACTGCCTGGTTAGATACAACTAAAATCTTCTTTCTGGACGTAATAAAAAGACTTACGCCGTCTGGACAGGTGGTTTGGTGGTCTCAGGTCGCAGCGTCTGGGCCTTGCTGGTGTCACTGGACTGTCTCTCTGCTGGCCGTTTCTGGTCTCTCAGAAAAGGGTTGGTGCCTGGTTCAACGCGCCTCAGAGTGCCCCGCTCACGGATGTACACCTGTTCCAGGGCCACCTCTTCACAGCGGGGCCCCTGGAAGCCTGAGCGACACACACATGTATGCGGTCGGCTGCAGGAGCCACGGTTCAGACATGGGGGCTGGCAGTCAGCTGAGGAGAGAGCACAGAGAGAAACCAAGTTTTCAGCAGGTCACATTAAAGCATGCCCCCTCCAACCCTTGTGTACAGAAAAGCTGTAGTAGAAATGGTTGTTCCTGATTTCAACAATGGGGTTCACTCTGAACTTAATCAGTCAAGAGGCCATTAGTTTCACTTCCTAACCATTTTGCTACTTTTCATTTAGCTGAGAACCAGTGGGTGCCTTCATGTTCAATTACCGGTGAGTATTAAACTGCCCTGTTTGGCCACTTACATTAAACCTATATCTCAGTTCTGCTTGAGGTAAATGCTGGTATTTTCCACACAGTTAATGTAGTTACGTAACATCAAAAATCCAACACAGGCAGAGTTAAAGAGTCATAAAAGTAAATAGGCTTTTTTTTTTTAAGAGTATGGGAAAAACAGAGAATAGCTAACAGGTAATTACAGTTATGTCATGTAGAGGTCTTTATTTCAGAAACAAAGTAAAATAGATGAGGCCTAAGCCCCTTTGACACATGCTTTCCCTTAATGTGGTGGCAATTATTGGAGTAATATTTGATCCTGAAAAAGTCTGAAAGATTTTGAATTGTTTTACTGTACTTAAAAAATAAATGCACACTGAACGTGCAGGTGGGACCATCTGCGAGGTCTTTCTGCTTAATGCACCTCCAACACGAGTGTGTGAATAAAATCCCCCAAGAGAATTTAACTGTGGTGTTCTTTAAGCCTGCCTCAGAACCTGCCATCCCACTCCAGTCAGTTCAAATACAAAATGACACTGTGGCATGCATTTTTAAGAAACCAAGCTGTTCTTGTGACACAAATGAGTGTAGCAGGCAGGACTTAAGGATTTGTGACACTGTCCTTAAACAGTAGATTAGGCCACTGGTCTGTGGTGGCTAAAGCAAACAGCAGTGCTCTGTCAACAGCTAAGGAATGCTATTGACACAGATGCTGTGAACACTGACAGATCGCAGGCAGGAATGCCGCCGCAGCTCGTGCTGGCAGTCAAAAAGGTTGCTAGCACCAGTCTACCTGCTGCACACTTCCTGTTATTGTGATGCCGCCCAGACTCTGAACACATTGTTTCCTGAAATGTACAGCAAGCAAACACCATACCCAGAGGATGTTATTCTTCATCACATGCTTAAAACTAACAGAAGGATGCATGACAAGTGTCGTGCAACAACTGACTATTAGTTCCAAAGGGATGAGTCCAAAATATACAGGCAGAATTTGATTCTGACTTTTATTTTTGTCAAGTGTTCCTGCGACCCAAAAGAGGAAGAAGCAGGTAAAAGATGATGGATGGTTGGATGGATGGATGGATGGATGGATGGTTGGATGGATGGATGGATTTGCAATTAAAACGTCTTCTTTGTAGATATCCAGATTGATGAGGAGGAAAAATGGATGAAGTAGACAAATTCACTAAAGTATTGCTTTTAAAAAATGTTGTAAGCTCATTCATTCAGGTAGATAACAACAAAAAGGTTAAATTGTGTCATCTGGACCAGTTTCTGGACCACTTGATAGCTGGACATGGGCACCAGTGACCCCCGCGACTCAAAAAAGAAGAAGAGTGTAAAGATACTGGATGGATGAACGGATGGATGGGTTGCCAGGGTAGCAGCTTGAGCCACACATCTCTTTCCATAGCCACCTCTTCCCAGGAGGATTCTGAGGCATTCCCAAGCCAAGAGAGGGACGTGGTCTCTCTAACATCTCCCTCCCCGGGGTCTCTTCCCAGTTGGATTTGCTCAGAAAACCTGTTTGGACTCAGTTCAAGCCCTAGGGAGGCGTCCAGGGCGCATCTTTACCAGAGATACCCAAAGCAGCTCAACTGGTTCACCTCCATGTGGAAGAACAACAATTCCTCCACATGGAGGTAATAAACACCTTAGTGGAGCAGAGGTTAGAGAAGGTGGGTCTGTGATCGGAGGATCGTCGGTTCAAGCCCCGGTACCGACAACATCAAAAATGTGGGTGGGGTAGGGGAAGCGCCCACACCTGTCGCCACCCTCATTCGCCCCACTCTGGGCCCATGAGCAAGGCCCTTAACCCCCATCTGCTCCCTAAACGGGTCTCGAAAATGAGTTCTCGTGGCTCAGTGAGACTACCTGTATAAATAAAGTGTAAATGAAAAAAATGAAAACAATTTTGAAGAATCAAACACGTTTAAATAGTGGTTGTGTATTGTATAACTTGGTACATGATTCAAATTTTCCATTATGGGATAAAAACAGGGATAGCCTGAGTTCTATTTGGCAATAAGTGAAAAAAGAAAAGCTCATCTATGAAGTATGGGCTGCCTGAATGCTGCCGTTTTCTCCGGACTCTGCTCAAGCTCAAGTGTACGATGGACTGTTGTGATCAAACAGGTCACAGATTCCAGTGGCGTTGTGTGAAAAGAAGACAACTCAATTATGTGTGCAAATAAATTCCTCAAATAAAACTATCCAAACTGAGACCAGACAAGAAACTGTACAGGACTGCTTCACACTGGCATGTATTTAATGACCCGTTTTTTAGCTGTGAAGTCCAGAATTGATGGCAGACAAACATGTCGCCTTTGCTGATAACAAAGTAGACAGGTCAGTGACTCTAGACTTGACATTTGCCCCACATGAAGCTTGCATGGCCACGGCATACAATGTCACTGCCAATCTGCGCTGTCTCTGGGCCCTGCCTCTGGGCTGTTGAACACATTGTCGCAGTAATTGCTGTCGTGCAGATTTGTCTTGCACATCATTAAAACTAATTGCCTCGCATTCCATCTATTTCAAAAATATGCGCAGCAATTATTACTTTGCGAGAGTAATGATAAAATGAGAATCCATCTGAAATAAAAGAGGAAAAATGGCAAACATTCCTGGCATTGCCACTTCAGCCTTAATTATGACTGAGCCAGACCGGCCAAGGTTTTGGAGTTTGAGTCCACATCCAGTCATCTGAAAAGAGGAGACTATTAGACTGAAGCTTCGAGTTTTCCACGCGTAAAAATGCTGATGCAGAAAAAAGAAATGGAAAGGCTTGTCCGGTGGGGATTTCTTAAATATCCATAACTTCCGAAAACCTCCAATTTTAAATTATATTTTAAACCTATGTCTATTTGAGGCTTTTTATATGACAAATTGGCATGAACAAAACTAGCACTCAACAGTAAAAACTCAAAACTTCTGTAAGACGATACTTCTAAAATGACAAACACAACTTAAGGAAACAGAACAGACATGAAGAACCCACCCTGTCTTGCTGCAGAGTGGGACTGATTAAATCTAGAACAAAGACATCAGACTTCCTTAATGAAGACAAAACTGCAGCTCAGACGGTATTTTTAAAACTGGATATAACAATGTTGCGAATTATAGCTGGAAAAACTCGAGTTCAACATTTAGCCACCGTCATCTTACTGTTTTTATTTTTGAACAAGAGCATGCAGCTGAAAAGGGATACTGGATAATAATTTTGAACCAAAATATAAATCTACAAGGTTTCATATTCATTTCATTACAGAAATCTTTCAAAATGACCACCAGGACGCTGACACGAAGAAGTGATTTGAGGCACGGTTTCAACTGGTTGAGCAGGCGCCTCTTGTACAGAGACAGAAACCCTCATCACAGCCAGGCCTGGGTCCATTCCAGACCAGTCTGGCCTTTCGAAGCACAACATTCCCCTTTCTCTGCCTGCTTTCCTGTCTCTCTCCCACTGCCAAATTAAAGCACCCAAAAGAAGTGCATCTAACTAATAACAGCATGTATTGATGGAAAACAATTGTGCAATCGATGTGTTTAAAAATGTAATATGTAGAATCCTAAAACATTTTGAAAGGCAACACCTAGTAGGCATTAGTGATATTTAACTTTTACATTCTGGCTTTACTTTAGATAATGAGTGACTAGATCTAACTTTTAGTCTTTGAACTACATTCATTCAACCTTTATTTATGCAGGTTAATCTCATAGAATCATGAGGAGTCATTTACTGTACAAGAGAGAACTGTTTTAAACAAAAACCACAGATGAGGTACTGTACACAGCAACAAACATTCATATAAAAGCATATAAAATGACAAGTAAATAAAAGAAGTGATTAAAAAAAAAACATTCAAGCTGTGTAAATTACTAAAAACAGGAACATGTCTGCAATAATTTTTACCATGAACTCAGTTGTTTAAAATCCCATAGGGAGGCCAAAGTCGACAACTTCAAATATTTTTCCAAGGTGTTCCAGGTTACAGGAGTGGAGTAAGAGAATGTCCTTTTGCCAGATTTGGTCCACACTGAGGGGCCACTGCAGGTAATGATGTCTTGGGAGTGCACGCTGTAGCTGCACTGACGAAGTGACATGTACATGCAAGCATCAGCTGAGTTGTGGGGCCAAATCTCTCTAAATATAGCAAATACATACATTGAACAATAACACAGTAACACAGCAGTGTATACTGTAGCACACGTGAAGACTAAGAACAAAGTTGATAAATCATAGTTTGATTATAATGGTAAATGGGCTGTACTTAAATAGCACCTTTCTATCTTATAAGATACTCAAAGCACTTTCCACTACAATCTGTGTCTGTGACTCTACTGGATCTATACAAAGAATGCATGCATGGTCTCAGTTTAGCTTTTAAAAAGTGCAATAATGCATCCTGTGACCAGTTTTTGTGTAGGAATCTACATTTTAAGACAAGAAGGGACTGAGTTTCATCAAAGTAATGTAGATGAACAGCAATTTGGTTTGTGTCATTGACGAGAGGAGCACTTCAGGCTGCAGAAAAACACACATCATAAAAGTTTATGTAAGTTTATGTGTTGAGCAGCATTATGCAGAACAACATGACACCTAAAAGGTAAATACAAATGTTCATCTAATGTTTGACTAGGGGTTAAATAAATGCTTTAAAAATACATTACAGGTGATTATTATTGTCAGACATTCAGGTGATGACTCAGATGTTGTTTGCTTTTATTAAGGCAACCCTGGCAAATTTATTGAAGCCGGTA